CAGCTGAAGGGAATTGAAATTCGGCGGGTGAGTGTGATTTTTTTGTAATTATTATTTCTAATTTGTTTTTGTTTTTTGGTATTTGTTTCTTGTGTGGTTGTGCAATAAAAGAAGAGGAATGAGTGATGTATATATAGTTAAATTTGTGGATTGTAATTTGTAAGTGTACAAGGTTTGTAGGAAGGATGCTTGTTCTCTCCTTGTTTTGAGGAGTTGTTTGGTTGACAAAGGAAAGATTAATTCAATTATCAATTATTAATGTTAGTTGTTTCTTGAAATAGGAATTTATTATTTTTAATTTGGAAATTTTATTACAATTATTATAAATTTAGAATGAGTAAATTAAACATAGAATAGTGTTTATCTAAATATTGTACCAATGAAATCAAACATATATAGTTGAATATCAATAAAATGTGAAATCACTATTTTTCTTTCTTTCTTTCTTTTTTTATTTATATATATATATATATATATATATATATATATATATATATATATATATATATATATATATATATATATATAAATTGAAATTCTATATGGGCTTGAGGCCATGTTTGAGTGCAGCTTTCCACACAACATCAATTTGATCAACATTGATAGCTCCAACTTCATTATGTTTCCAACCTTCTAGAAAATGAATCACTCCCCCTGCATGGCATGCATGAACCACCCCTCTTTCCATTGTATACTGATTTCAAACAAAAAAAAAATTTAAAAAAAAATCGAGAAATTCGGAGGTTATAAAAAGTTATCGATATGCAATGTACGTTAATCGGAAAAAAAAAATACGACATACCTCACACGATCCAAGTCCCTGAATATCATTAGGGAGTTTCATTGCAGCTAATTTACCATAAGTGCAGTCTCTTCTAAATGGTATAATTGGTGGCACCACAAACTGGTGAAAATGCGTCCCTTTCGGTGCCCAATATTGCTCTCTCGGCGTCGTCCACTTTCCGATTATCCAATTCTGATTTTTTTTTATTATTTTCCATAATTTAAAAAAAAATTGCAAGAATGAGTAAAATCGTCTTATTTAAGACGACGAAAAAAATTAATTTAATTACCTTACAATGCTGAGCAGCTTGATACTTAGTAACTTGAACTAAATACTTTTGACATTCAATAGGTGCTTCTTTCTGAATCTTGGTGAATCTCTCTGTCGAAAGAGTTAGCATCTGCGTTTTTTTTTTCCGCATCATATCAATTAATTAACGTAGGAATTAATTAGAGTGTTTATATATTAGTTCAAATAAATAGCAAATACTTGAGTTGACTTACCAAGACTTTGACATTTCGACGAGCGAGGTAGAGAGCGATGGCCCTACCGAGCTTAGAAGTGGCCCCCGTTAAGAAAACCTCGTCTACGTTTTGAGGAATCTCGTGTAAGATGACAGCAGCCGTGAGTGTGTTCCCGTGAACGACTCTTACTTTAAGGTTCGGGTGTTTGTTCGTAAAGAGTGTTCCACCTCCGTTTAGACCTTCGTTCTGAAATCGAATTCTCGTCTCATTAATTCTCGATAAACACGAATTCTAATCTCATAGTTTTATTAATTAATTAGTGTTTTCAAACATAAGAATCACCTTATTTAGTGCAGCAAGGCTTATAACCTTAACTCCAAGTTTGTCTGCTTTGAGGATTGCATCTTCTATTTGTTTGTTTATTCCTTTTTTAGCAAATGGCAAGAAATACTGCCAAAAACAAAACAAATTATACCATGTTAGAAATACATCTCTCTCTCTCTCTCTCTCTCTCTCTCTCTCTCTCTCTCTCTCTCTCTCTCTCTCTCTCTCATACCTGGAAGCCGAATCTTGGGACAATCCAAGTGTGATGCAATCTCCCTCTGAGATTGTAAGAGCTAAACAAGAAGGTCTTAGACTTAGCCCACATAACAAGCATCACCAAATAAGTAAACGGCCACATCGGAAACAAGAACGCCTTTATGCTGAACGGCATCGAGCTGAACGATCGGAAAACATACGGCGCGTGCATAGCCGACATAACATCCACCACGTGCGCAAGAAACACAAAATCCGGCGCTCTGCTATCTGCCAATTAAAAATTCAAGAATTTCGTAACGATTAATCCAATGGTTTAAAGACGCTAAGAATTTTTAACGGAAAAACGGGCTTACGTTTTCTTGAACTAATCTCTCTCTGAAGATCCCAAGAATTGGTGTTTGTTGTCTTCCATAAGTGATCATAGAATGGCATGAATAGGCAAAAATTTGTTCCCATGTTTGTGTGGTGAAGGCTGTGGTATCTGCGTAGTAAGTCGGGAATATAGTAAGGAATCTTCTAGAAAATTTGACGAAAATTATAAAAATAGAATCTTTTGCGATTTAATCGAAAAAGCAGTGGCGGAGACAGTATTTTGTCATTGTAGGGGCCAAGTATGCATTACAATTTTTCTAGGAGGCCAACAATATTACAGTACTAAATCGGGGGGGCCATGGCCCCCCGTGTCATATGCTGACTCTGCCACTGATCCCAAAAGCATGGAAAATGTGATCAACAAAATAAAACAGAATAAGACAAGTGCCTAATGTGTGCAAGAAAAGAGTAACATAATTCTTACCTGTAAATTAAAAAAGAAAAAAAAAAAGAAAAAAAAAGAAAAAGACAAGGCTTACGTGGGAGTTCGGATAAGATACTTGAGCAGAGGAAAAGCATCGAACAATCGAAAAGGGAAAACTTCAATATTGCAGTGGCCCAAACATTGAAGAAAATCGAAAACCAAGAGATAACTGTAAACCATGCTCATCGATCCGTATCCGATCAAAGCGGACCCCACGATCGGAATTCCTACAACTAAACAAAGTAGTATATGTTCCAAGAACGTCGCGTATTCAGCTGCAGGTACGAATCAAATCACACACACAAAAAAAATTAGATATATTATTTTTTTTTTCGTTTGTCGAAACTAAAAAAAGATGTCCGAAATAATTCACCGGTGAAAGGATGAAGAACTTTGGAGGTGTGATGGAGATAGTGGTACTTGTGAAACAAGCTCGGCGAATGTAATAATCTATGAATCCAGTAATAAAGCGGCTCCGAGATTCCGATGTGGAGTACGATGCAGATAAAGATTCCGTTTTTATCCCACTTCGGAAAATTATTTAATGAAGGGAAACTCATGTACAGTAATGAAGCAACTGCAGCTTGAAGTATCAGAAAATTATCCCTGTTTCATCAGAATATAAAAAAGAAAATTTAAAAAAAAAAATCAAGAACTCATACCTAACAAAAAATATATTGGAAAATTATGTACATACATACCAATGCCATTCAGCGTCGATTTGATCGAATTCGACGCCGTTTTCGTTGATTTTACGAGCCCGGTTAAGGAAAAGCAAACTAGAGTATGTGCTAAAGAGCTGATGAATAAGGGCTCTAAGTGCAAATAATATGAGAATATGCAGAAAGAACCAACTGTCATTCTTGATTTCTCCTTTGTGGATTGAATATACTACTTTTCCAACTAGTGGACCGTACACCAAATACTGTGTGTTGTTCAAATTAAATATATATCATCATCAGATTCTTGTAATAAAATTTAATTTAAATAAATTAAAAAGTTGGAATAAAAAAAGTAAGACAAGAATTAAAAGGGATTGATGTACCTTGTAGCTGTGCAAATTCTGCCATGGCCAACTGAAAAAAGGAGCTTCATTTTTGTTTGGCATGTTGCAGGTTTTTTTTTTTTTCTCCAACACTGAAATTAAACAATGTAAGAAAGAAGTACAGAAAAATGAAGGCAAATTCAGTTAATGAAACCTGTAGCTGTAGTAGAAGCTCTGAGTTTTTGTTTTTTTTTTTCTTTTTTTTTCTCTCTTTTGTCTATTTGGCAATTGGCACCACTATGATCAGCACTTATTAAGGGCCTTATATATACGTATGGCTAAAAAGGGCACTCCTTTCAAAGGCAATTTATTTATGCTAGAATTTAGCAATATTCTTGATCAATAAATTTTACTTTTTATTGAACTAAATACTTGTCTTCTTTTTTCCCTTTTTGAATTGCTAAAAATAAATGAATATGTTGTTTTTACGGTAAATTACGGCCGTCCTCCATCGATAAGATCAAATTACAAAAAAATTCATCATGTTGGTAATTTAAATTATCTCTCTCGATTATGAATTTTATTATATGATCATCCTTATTGTGTCAAATTCATCAGAATCTTATAAATTTCGTTGAATGTTTTATATCTTGTACTCGTTTTGTGCAAAAATGCAGTTTTTAATGCACCACAATCTGATACTTTTGTATGATCATCTTGTTTCAAAGTATGGATCTCGAATAGGTAGAACGGTTACAAACTGGAAAATATTTCACATGATCTAGAAGATTCCACTAAATTTAACGTCGCAACAGTGAATATGTAAAAAGATTCATAATGAAAGGTGGTTGTAATTACCCAAACATAAGGGGGGTTTTCATAATATGACATTACCTCAGGGGTGACCGTAATTTACAGTTATTTTTATTAACAAAAATCAATATGCACTGTATTTTTTGAAATAAAGCAGATTTTTTATTTTATTATTATTAGTACCTGCTAAAAATTGAATAAACAAAATTAAAAAAAGAATTAGGTTACAGCTATTGGGGTGGTGCCATCCCAAATTAAAGAAATTTAATGAGAGAGAAGAAATATGGTTCATGGTTGGCTGCTTAAAAAATTAAAAAAGAAAAGACTTTTATTTGGATTTTGGTGGTGGATTGTGGATTGCAGTTGAGATGTTGATAGCTTTATCTCCAACTAGGAGCTATTTAATTACATTAATTCATTTCATTAACCACAATTTCATAAATAAATAAATAAATAAATAAAAAGTAGCATTAGTGATTAGTGGTGGACATTGAAACAAAAAAAATTTCCGGATTCCATCGGTTCCGATACAATGATTTTTCATTTCGGTTTCCAATTTTTCGAAAAAAACTTTTGGATTTTATCGAGCAGAAGTATATATCAATATTATTACGCATTTATCGGATGAATTTAAATGTAATTTATGTAAACATATATACACATTTTTTGTGTGAATGTTATTAAAGTGGTATGATAAATAGGAAAAATTACAATTTTAATATTTGTCATTTTATTAAATAGTGCATATCTATATGTTGTATTTTAAATATAATTCATGTAAATAAATATACATTGTATAAAATCTTTAAAGCGGTATGATATAGATTAAATTTTATATTTTTACAATTATATCGTTGGAATAACATAAACAATTGTATTTGAAAAAATGGAAATTGCAACTTCTTCCCAAAAAAAAAAAAAAAAAACCCGAAAATTTTCGAAAAATATAGAAATTACATAATTTTCAAAAAATATTAAATTGTTCATAGATTTTGTGTGGTGAAACAGCTCATAGACAATTGTCTTAAAACTGATATCCTACCTGACTGTCCCTAAACTTGGGATACTCTTTCTTAATTGTCAACCATTTCCCATTTGGATTTTTCACACCTTCTATTTTTCATTTAGTGTTTCATTTTGTTTAATTAAATATTATATTATTACACGTCATATATAATATATATATATATATATATATATATATATATATATATATATATATATATATATATATATATATATATATATATATGACACACAATTAATACTATCTATAAGTACAAAAAAATACAAATAAATTGATGTCTAGATAACCCAACAACAGTGATCGTGTGACATATTGTCCTAGTAGTTTCCTCGGTATACAATTTATTCTTTCCGATTCCGTGTCACACTCTAATAACTGCATCAATTAATTCATCTTTTCAAAATTTTGCTTTATTTATATATATATATATATATATATATATATATAAACACTCTATATATATATATATATATATAATTATAAATAAATAGATTTGAATACTGATATGCCTAATTGGGCCAACCCAATGGGCCTACAAGATATTTACCTACTGGGCCACGAGCCCAATATTGAAGACCAATATCACCGAGGCCCAAACACCTTCAAGTAAGGTTTGGGCCCAACAAAGCAAACCCAACCCAATAAACGACATATAAATAGAGGTTTTACTCATTTTATTAAGGTACGTCCTATTAACTGAGCAATACTACAATACGTATTCTCTGGACTATTTCTACTATCAGCACGTCTGACTTGAGCGTCGGAGGGGTTTCCGCCGGATCAACCCCCGGCTTAGTTCATGTGTTCTATGATCGCAGGTACCTCAGGATCATCAAGTTGTCAAGCTACTGATCTGCTTTGCTCTCCCAGTTCATTTTCTACACTACCCCAGGTGATCTACATTTTAGCATCCCATGAGGAGACAACTCCTATGAGGAGACCACTCGCTCCATCCTACGACCCGCAGCGAGGAAACTCCCACGAGGAGCCAACTCGCTCGGTCCTACGAACCCACAGCGAGATAACTCCTATGAGGAGACCACTCGCTCCATCCTACGACCCGCAGCGAGGAAACTCCCACGAGGAGCCAACTCGCTCGGTCCTACGAACCCGCAGCGAGATAACTCCTACGAGGAGACCACTCGCTCCATCCTATGACCCGCAGCGAGATTACTCCCACGAGGAGCCAACTCGCTCGGTACCCCAACCCGCAGCGGGACAACTCCCACGAGGAGCTAACTCGCTCGATACTATAAATCCGTTGCAAGGCAACTCCCACGTGCAACCACCTCGCTCGATAATAAGACTCGCTGCGAAACAACTCCCACGAGGAGACAACTCGCTCAAAGCAACCTCAATCCACACGCGCCTAAATCGCGCATCATCCAATGCTCCTACAACTTCGCTGCAAGACAACTCTCTTGAAGATACAACTCGCTCGCAATGCACTATATAATCGCAAGCTCAAGTTAGCACGATTACAACCCTAGAAACACTTAGAGATATTATGAGAATCTATATAGCCTGGCCAGCTTGATTACTCAAAATTTATCTACTTGTTTTCGATGGGTCCTTCATTAAAACGTGGCCACGGTCCAAACATACTTACGACCCACGAGGTCTAACAAGGGGCACGATCCCCATAAAAAAAACTCTTGAGAGCCTGATCCCCTCCTCAAGTACATCACGCACAAGGCTATATGTAAACACATACAAGCAACGCGTCAAAACATTGACAATGTCGATAAATAACAACTCCCACGAGGAGAATACTAGCTCCGTGCTACTACATTATCACGAGACAACTCCCACGAGGAGATAACTCGATCAACTCTATTATCCCATGACGAGACAACTCCCACGAGGAGATTACTTGATCCGTGCTACCACATTATCGCGAAACAACTCCCACGAGGAGATAACTCGATCAACTATATTACCCCGCGACGAGACAACTCCCACGAGGAGACAATTCGCTACTACATCGTCGCGGGACAACACCGACGACTCAAATAACTTACATAGCGACAACTTAGTCGCGCTACGCGCCAATGCGCATTCACGCCCCTCCGACACACGCTCCAATGCATTTCCGCACACCATCAGGCCATATGCCAAAGAACAAACACTACAATTTTCACTCTCGACACGATTGAGAACCCATTTCGACATGGCCCCCACATCGACTCGAGAGTGGGGGGCTTAATGATATGCCTAATTGGGCCAACCCAATGGGCCTACAAGTTATTTACCTACTGGGCCACGAGCCCAATATTGAAGACCAATATCACCGAGGCCCAAACACCTTCAAGTAAGGTTTGGGCCCAACAAAGCAAACCCAACCCAATAAACGACATATAAATAGAGGTTTTACTCATTTTATTAAGGTACGTCCTATTAACTGAGCAATACTACAATACGTATTCTCTGGACTATTTCTACTATCAGCACGTCTGACTTGAGCGTCGGAGGGGTTTCCGCCGGATCAACCCCCGGCTTAGTTCATGTGTTCTATGATCGCAGGTACCTCAGGATCATCAAGTTGTCAAGCTACTGATCTGCTTTGCTCTCCCAGTTCATTTTCTACACTACCCCAGGTGATCTACATTTTAGCATCATCAAATACAATTTTATTTTTTAATTCTTTAATTATAATATAAACAATTTATAATAAAAAAATAATAATAAAAAAAGAAAGAAAATTAGCTGAGCTCAAGTTCGGCAAACTCGTCGCGAGCTCAAAAAATATGTCCAGCTTGACTCATTTATTTGAACGTCGAATTTAATTATTTTCTCTTATTGAACTTGAGAAGAAGAAAAATTAAAGTCGCCCTCAATCTAACTTTTATGCTCGATCTTTATTATAATAACTACACCACATGTATTAGGCAAGCATATGGCCTAAATTCTTAATTAAGAAGCTTAATTATGCAATTAATGAAGTTCCGTTTCGTAGTTTCATTTCGGTCTCAAGCCTCGCAAAGTCCTTAATAATACGATAGCAATGTTTACCTAGTACACATATGTGATCGTGGTACTTTTCCAAAAAAAAGTCATTGTGTTATGCACAATATAACTAATTTTAATTTACTTGAATTTAAGATGTAACTTTACATAAAGTCATCAGCAATTAATATATGTTTAGGCTTGAGCCCGACACTACATAAATAATCTTTTAAATGAAAATATATATTGTCGTGCCTCTAAGATAATAGGGATTATTAGTGAGAACCCCCTACTATATTAGGGTAAATTAGAATGGATCCAACCCCTTTTACAATATTAGTGAAACCCCCTCCATTATTTAATTTTAATTATTATTTACATAATTATTAGGTGCTAAACCTATATTACCCTTAGTTGCCAAATTTTGTTAAAATAAACCCTAGCCGCATATTTTATACCAACAACCGTTCTCTCATCGACACTCATCTCCACCACTTCTCTTCTTTCTCGATCTGGGAATCCCGGTAATGGCGGTGGAGGCGGCGGCTAAACGGAGGACGAAGGTGGTGCCACATCTCAACAACGACGAAGGAGTCGTTCTCAAATCTCCGGCACCGTGAAGAAAATTAAAGAACAATAGCCGCTATGTAGTCGATTCTCGCTTAGTTCGCTTCGTTCTCAGGCGCTATGGAGTCGATTCTCGCTTAGTTCGCTTTGTTCGTTATATTCGGTGGCCACCAAAGGCGTTGGAATCGACTATGGGAAACCCTTCGTTTTTTTTTTGGTAATGGTTAACCCCTCTCTACCTCCACCCTCGTCTCCATCGTCAGATCTGGTAACATCGCTCTGCTCCACCGCAACCATAATTTAAAAAAAAAATCGGAGATGTTTTTATTGATGGGTATCTTTTGCAGCAATATAGTTGTTTTCGTTATTCTACTATTTAGTATAGTTGTTTTCGTTATTCTACTATTTTGTATAGTTGTTGATGGGTATCTTTTGCAGCAGTATAGTTTTTTTTTTTTTTTTGTTCTTTCGATTTTTGGAAGCATTCCTGGAATCCTCGTCGGAAGACCGCCTCCACCACCGCTGTAATGGAATAGATTGACCACGAGGAGGAGGTATTGTTTGGGAGGCTGGTTTGTTGAAATTGTGTTCGTGTTACTCAAAAAGATATAGTTGTTTTCGTTACGGTTGTAGTTGGTTTCAATAATAGTCGTTTTTGTTGGAATTTTGGTATGTTTTTTTGCTTTTGCTTTTGTGGATTTCAATAAATTGTAGTTGATTTAATATAGTTGTTTTCGTATAGCAATATAGTTGTTTTTACACAATAATTTTATTGTTTGAATAAATAGTTGATTTAACAAATAGTTGTTTTGGAGATGTTTTGATTAAATAATTAATTAATCTTAAAATGGAAATAATATAATATATAATTAACTTAATGAATTGTGAAATTGATGTATCATTGTTTTAATTATAGTCGTTTTAATAATAGTCGTTTATTGGCATATAGTTGTTTTAACTGAAAACTAAAAGAATATAGAAAAGGAATATTTAAAGAAAAATATTAAAAAAAATAAAAAAAAAGTTTTTTTAAAAAAAATATTATTTTTTAAAGAAGAAATAAATAAATAAAACGAAAATTAAAATTAAACTATAAAAAAATAAAAAAAAATATCAAACTAGTGGATAATAGATAGTGAATAGTGGGAGGGTAAATTTGAGAATATAAAAAGAATGGGTTTCTCACTAATAAAGGAAAAGGAACTGGACCCATCCCTATTAAAATAATGTTAGAGGGGGTTCTCACTAATAGTCCCAAGATAATAACTTTTGTTTCATTATTATCTATGCATCTGTGTAATTAGTTTTAGGGTTGGGCATGAGTTGAGTTAGGTAATTATTGGTCAAATACCTATCTGATTCGACCATTCGATTTTATTGAATATTGAAAATTATTACAGGTCCGACTATTATAGATTGGATAATGGTTGGCAACCGACTATGTCGAATAAACAATGGGTGGTATTATTTTTATTATTTATTTATTTTTCTACAGTAATAAAATGTTTTTAAAAGTTTTTTCAGAAGATAATTAAAATTTTGAAAAAATAATGTTGCAAAAATTTTACCTTTAACCTTATTTTTTTTTATTAAACTTCAACAATAAGTAAAAAAAATATATGATTAAGAATTATAAAATAAAAATAGTACGTTGAGATTAATAAATTTGAGTTGATTTTTATATATTATTTTAATATTAAGAAAATAAAATTATGAATTAAATACTCACAATAACTTTGTATAATCAAAAAAATTGGTTAACCAATATTACTCGACTAACGGACTTTTGAGTAAACTAAAAACTACCAACCGACCCATTTATATATGAGTCGGTTAAAATTACCGATCCGACTATATAAGCCAGTAAATTAGCAGTTATCGACCAAGAAAAGTACACTAAAAGTGGATCAGTTGGCCGATAAAATCGACTTATGCCCTCCATTTATAAGAGGTAATTAGACTTCCCTAGTTCACAACCATGTGTACAGAATAGGAGTTATTGCTATTACATGTATTTATAAGGGCACCCATCCCTAATTTACACCCAAAAAAGTACATTTTTTGGTGTCACCTAACATGAAATTTATGAACTCTAATTGCCAACTAAAGAGAACCTTCAAAAAAAATTTATTATTTTAACAAATATTTCATACTACAGTAGAACCTTGATAAATTAATACCCGATAAATTAATAACCTCGCTTAAATAATAAATTTTCCCGGTCCCGACACGGGGACAACGTGCTAAATTAATAATTCTCTAAATTTATAAGATAATACACATTCAGAAATTTTAAGAAGCCCCATATAATATATAAATTAATAATGCATAAAAAAAATTCTTAAATTACATAGTACAAAGCATATTTTATAGATCTATGAAGGCTTAATATAATATAATTTAATTCTCACTTGTTTCTTGTAGAAGTTCACATTACCATCAATCTCGTCGCTCACTTTTTTTAACATGGTTAGAACTTTCGATATAGTTTTCTCATAGCTCAACATATATCGTTCTATACCATTACTGTTTTAAGAGCTTCCATTCGTGAAACTGGCTCTATAGTGCATTAAACGAATGGTACAATGAATAATATATACGTAAAAAAAAATGTATTTATTGAAAATAATAATAAAAGTAATTTCATAAATTAATAAGTTATTAATTAATGTATAAATTAATAATTATTAATTTATCGATAAGTTAATATTTCGCTAAATTAATGAAATCTTGATGGTCCCAACTGTATTAATTTATAGAGGTTTAACTGTAATTGCTTTCAATATTGTAGCAGATGCAAAACTGCATCCTTTGTATGCAATTAACTAAATCTAGATTTATTCTAAAATATATATTTTTTAAGAAATAGTTTTCTTAGGTCAAGTTCCGGATCGGGTATTGGGGTAGTTTTACCCTACCCGATATACAACCGGGAATTACTATTCTAAAAATATAACCCAACTCCATCCGGTTTTAAAAATATAGTCGGTACCCATACCGGAAGTACACAAACAAGCCAAAACAAATTGCTTCAGAAAAATCTGATTGTTCCGATAATTAAAACCAACAAATTAGTTCTCAACAACACATAAAATCAAAAGGCAATTTATATCACCAAGGTAACAAAATCGTCTCTAGAATTTCTAAAACCTCGAAATTTAATATTTGATTTCATTAAAAAACTTCCAAAAAAAAAATTGCCATCGCAAATACTCTGTTCCAACAAAGAGCCAAACCACAACTTCAGTAAAAGAAACCAAGTACTTTACCACCAACACTTTTCCTACGTGCTTCTTCGTGATCCATGATTCCAGCCGAAGTTGTTAGCACAATATATCCAAACTGAAATCAAAGTGCATAATTTATAAATAAAAGAGAAAAAAATGTATTTTCAGAAATTTTGAATTACATAATTACAATTACAAGCAAAGGGTTATGAATTTGTTTTTACCTGTCTCGATGGGAGAAGTCTTGCAGTCCAAGGCTCGATATCCTTAACACCAACATCAAATCGAGGGCTGATAACACCACATTTGTTCAATCGCCCGTTTAGTTCAACCACGATTTTTCCAGATCTGTGGTCGTCAACATATTCAAATTCTCCAATGTATCCTGTCAATCAATTAAAGTAACAAAATAAAGGGAAAACTTGTTATGCAAAATCAGAGATTTAAATGAAACAAAAAAAATAATTAAAAAAGAAAAAGAAAAGGAGCAAACCGTGCTTCTGCATGACCATAAGAAACTTGATAATCACTTTTGAAGAAGGCCTGATCATGACCTGTCGTTTTCCGATCTTTTCGGCATTGTACATACTCTTTAGAGCATCGTTCAACACACTGACTCTCACCATTTTCCGTATGCAAGCTGATGAAATAAATTATTAGAAAATATTAAACGGTGCATAAACATCTGTTCTGTAATATATCAATCTAAATATATAGTGAAACGGAACCTATACACATTACATCGAGCCATCATAAAAATAAAAAATAAAACAATTTTGCAACATTATTAAAATGTTTCAAACAAAAAAATCTACTAGTGGTATTCATCAATTCGGTTAACCGATCGAACAGTGTTGAACAAAAAGTTTGGAAAATATGATAAATAAAATTAAAATTGTAACTAATTTTTCTTTACTTTGGTAATTACAGAGTATGAAATTTCGGTTTTGCGGAACGAACACGGTTAACATCCCAACATGAAATGGGTGCAAAGATCTTAAAGTGTAAAATATCCTAAGCAATCTCTCTCTCTCTCTCTCTCTCTCTCTCTCTCTCTCTCTCTCTCTCTCTCTCTCTCTCTCTCTCTCTCTCTCATTTTCTCTTTTACGACTAGATCACCAGATCAGAGCTCTCTCTCTCATTTTCTCTTTTACGACTAGATCACCAGATCAGAGAGACTGAACCAAGATCCAGATTATATGTTCTTTAATATCAACCCTCAACAACACACATAAATACCCAATATTCTCAAATACAGCTATCACAAGAAAACAATGCAAATTGCTGAATTAAAAAACCAAACTTTACAAAAAATTACAGAAACGGGTCGAATAAAGAACACGGCGTAATCGTTTGAAATTCTCAATACAAACATCGTCGAACAAAAAAAAGGAACGAAATCTTACATCATGACCAAAAACATGTAATAACGAACAAATCAGAGTTTACTGACAGTGTACGAAAAAAAGTCATCAGAAATCAGAGTTTACTGAGAGTGTACGAAAAAAAGTCATCAGATCGGAGATTACCTGAGAAAGAGGGGCGGCGGCCGCTTCTTCTTTGATTCGGTTGGGCTCAAATGGAAGCGTCGAGGCGAGTGTGGGAATGGTGGGTTAGGGTTTGGGCTTATAAACGCTGCTTTCACGAGGTTTTCTTCTTCATTTTCAATTAAGGAAATTACGGAAACACCCCTCCAGGTCTGTGTTAATTCTTGGTTGATACTCCCTCCGTTCCTTTATAATTGTCGATTTTAGCTTGTGCACATGAATTAAGGATCTCAATAAATGTTACTTAATTTTTTGAAAAATATATTGTCTTGTACTAAAATACCCTTGCCAATAATTAATGTGAGAGAGTGTTGGAGATAGTTAATAAGGGTAAAATTGATAATTACACAATTAATGCAGTATCGAAAATGTAAAGTCACAGATAATATGAAACAAAAATAATTTTAAAAAGAGACAGTTACTGTGAAACAGAGGGAGTACTTGATAGTATGAATGTAAGTGGGACTTTTATTTATAATTCTTATTTGGGTAAATTACACCCACACCCCTGAGAGGTATGTTTAAATAACTTTAAGGTCCCTGTATTATCGATAATTACACTCACCCCTTGAAACGTAGTTATAAACTCTAATGGGATAATGCATTGCATACGTTATTACGATAGAGTTCTAACGGGCTATTGGTTTCAGGAAGTGGTGGAGACAACAAAGAGTTATGGGTGATTTAAGAAATATTCGGAGAGCCATGTCACCCCATATCTCCCTATAACTCTATGTTATCTCCACCACTAGCTAAAAGTAATAGTCCATTAGAACCATATCGGAATAATGTATCCAATGCATTATCCCGTTAGAGTTTCTAACTACGTTTCAGGGGGTGAGTGTAATTGTCGAAGCATACCATAAGACCTCCTCGTCTGATACGGTAACTAACTAATCAGTGTCATATTCGGTTTCTTTTCGGCTTATTTTTGTTGGTAATCGATATGTTGTTGCTAATTCAGGTTGCATATATGTATAAAGCACAGAAGCACAATCAAAGAGATGAGTGATGACAACCGAAATGAAGACGAGGATGATGATTGAGATCAAGAAAATATTTGTATTATTTGTTGTCATGTTAATAACATCTTTTTGTGTTAGGGATAGGGGACTATTTGGGATGAATATTACTAATTTATAATATTTATCTCATATTTGGTTAATCATTGAAGAGTATGTATGTATTTTATGTCTGTTTTGATTGATGACTATATGGACTTCATTTGGTTGGCAAGATAAGATTAGTCAATATAAGATTAAATTATCTAATGAGATTCAATTATTTTATTAGAGCTTGAAACGTCAAAAAAAAAAACCCATTATAAGGCAAGACAAGTCAAGATAAGGCACGATAAGTCATGATTATATAATTTTGACAGATCGACTCGGCAATTTATTAAGGATACCAAACATCAAATTAAGTCAACTATTTAGTTAATCGTGACTTATCTTGGCAACCAAACGGGCCTTAATGTAAATAAATACATTGTATGCACACTTAATTCTCTTGATGTTTTTGTTCGACTATGTTATGTCTGTATTTCTTCACTTAAAAAGGCTTCTTAATGTTATGTGTGTATTTTTTCACTAAAAAAGGTTTATGTTTTATTGTGTCAGAGATGAATGTTACTTTAATTTTACCAATGTATACAATAGTTTTTTTCTCAACGCTCTAATTCATAATTATAGATATGTGTTGGAAATTTTATTTAATAAAATAAAATTATTTTTCAATGGAAATTAGAAAAAATGTTTTTAGGCACTTATTGATCAAATAGGTCTGACAATATGCAAAGGTATGCCACACCT